ATATATATATAGTATATAGTATATCCGTGGAACATTCTCGATCATCGAACAAACACAATTGTCCTACACCGTATTCCCATTTCGATCTCTCCTTCTTCGTCTGCTCTGCTTCAAGTAAAAGTTTAAAATTATTAAATCGATCGTGACGATAATATTTGGTGTTGCAGGACCGATCGTGACGGCGAGGGCGGTTCTTCAAGGTACGGCGGAACTGCCATGCGACATTCGTCCTCCTCGACAAAATGATTCTGCGATATTAGTCGTTTGGTATAAAAGCGATATCACGCCTATATACAGGTGAGCATTGATAATAAAATTGTTTGCCTATTTGTTCCTCGCATTCCTCTTATAAACTTGATTCATTTTCTTCGATTTATTTAAATTCTCGCGTGATAAAAAATTGTTGCAGTTACGATATGAGGGGTAAACAGTCGGAAAAAGATTCGCACTGGAACGATAAGAATCATTTGAACGATCGTGCCTTCTTCAGAACGGTCACCGAGCCGGCCACTTTGAACATCAATCACATCGAAGAAAGAGACGGGGGTGAATACAGGTGTCGAGTAGATTTTGCCAAGAGCCCCACCAGAAATTCCAGGATTCATCTGACGGTTATAGGTTTGTATATTATAAAAGAAAGAAAGGAAAAGGAAAAATCTGCTACTTTTTACACGAGGTATCGAAATTTTCGTGGAAAAACAGAAGAAAAATGTAATCAATCCCTTACTTGGTATTTTTTATTTTTTCTATATATTTCAGTACCGCCGCATAAACCGAATATCATCGACGAGCATGGAACGATTGTGCAAACGGTAACAGGTCCGTACGAAGAGAACGAGGATATGAAATTGCAGTGTCTCGTGTCAGGGGGTGAGTTTTCTCAAGTATCAGTTTTACCAAAGTTTCTTCAAAGTTTCTTTTCTTCTTTTTTTTTTTTACGAAAATAATCAATCAATTAATTCGTTAATTTACGAGAATTTATTAATCAACTCTAACTAATTTTTAGTTTTAATCCGCTCATGCGATTCGTTTAATCGTTATCGATAATCGAGTTTCACGTAAGGTTTCGTCTAAAGCTGGAATGGACAGATACAATAATCGTTGCGGAAATGTACGCAACAACGTAAAGAAATTGTTAAATCGAATTACGATTATCGAATGCGTTTATAGATACGTGTATGTAACGTTATCTCTTTTATCTCCGATTACATCCACTTACGAAGCACCGTAACACGAACTATATCGCACGATATGTATATCTTGTGTAATATTAAGCATCTGGAACAGTATCAATTTCATCTTCAAATTATTATCCATTCAGAATTATAAATCGATCTCGAGTTGATACACGCGCGTGTGAATAATAAAATTGTAAGAAATTGTAAGCCCAGATCGTTTTAAAAGATCGTTATTTTTAAATTATATTTTCGTACGCGTTTTTCAGGTCGGCCAGAACCGAAAGTAAAATGGTGGCGTGGAGAAATGCTTCTCGACTCGACGGACGAACCAGGAGAATTCCCATCCCTTCGTAGAAACACTTTAATAGTAAAACAACTTTCAAGAGCTGATCTTCATGCTGTATTTATTTGTCAAGCATCCAACAACAATATCAGTCAACCTGTTTCAGCGTCCGTTACCATTGAAATGCATCGTAAGTTTAGTTTTAACTCTGTTTGATATTTCGTCCAAGTGATATCGTTGTTAACACTAACGATGAATAAAAACATCGTGCATTGTATATCGATTACGAAAATACGAAAAATGGATTTTTTAATCGAGTCAAAAATCAAAAGTATTGAATAAATTTAAAAATAACGAAAAAAGAGGAATCGAATACGTTTTATATATAAGCATAAAAGAATGCTTCACTTTAATAAATTTCGAAATAATTACACGATATATGTGTTAAGAAGTATTTGGAACACTTTTCAAGTGTGCGCAAATTTTTAGGGAATGTTTACATTATCGATACACGCGCGTGTATTATCAATGTGTAATCGGTAATTTTAACGCTAAAATTAACTCTTTGATATGAAATGCAGTAATCATTAATTAACTGAAATAGCAAATATATTTGCGACACCACGTTTTTGTCCACAAGCCAAAATTAAATCGCTCGTAATTTGAAAAATAAGCGACATTTTCGTATTCATCTCGTCTAGAGTTCGATTCTCAAAAGGTGTCCCACTTGTTTCTTAACACCCCTGTAAGTACACACACATGTAAAATATTCGTTTGAATACTTTTTTTATTTATCAACAGACGATTAAAATTTACTTTCAGATTATATGTTTCTTATTTTTCAGTGAAGCCAATGTCTGTAACGATATTGAGCAATGAGCATACACCTCTTAGCGCTGGTCGAAAGTATGATATAAATTGTATAACCGTTGGATCGAGGCCACCAGCTAAGTTATCTTGGTACATGAATGGAAAGAAATTGAATAATCACACGGAGAAGGTACGTTGTTTTTTTTTTTTTTTTATTAAAAATCATTACTGATGTAATGATTTAAAATAATAAAAACCAGCCCATTCTAACGTTTTTAATATAAAGTTCGAAGCTACTCGTCGAAATATATAAAAGGGGTTAAAAAAACACGTGGGACACCTTTGCAGGACTGATGCAACGAAACAGAAACAAAATATTCGATGCTCGAAAATACATGGAATCAGATTTATTGATCAAATCACGAATAATTTAATTTTGCGAGAAGGCAACGAGAGTTATATATAACGTCGATTTTTTACGGAAGTGTCGCACATTGATTGCGAGACGCAAGAGAAAATTATACAATTGTATCGAAAAGAAAATTCGATCGAATAGAATAAATGGTGCAATTGTTAAATTTTCCAATTTTTAAGCGCACGATTAATCGTCTGTTGTCTATAATTACATTTATTTCGCGCGTATTATCATATTTCATTCGAGATCGTGGAAAACTACCTTTGAAGCATCCCTTATTAGTCTATCTAAATAGTTCAAGTTTAATTTAAATAATTACAAGTTAACGTTAAGCTAACGTAACACTCCTCCGGAGGTGTAATTAGTAGCCTCTCTCTTTTAAACTAATAGTCTCTCGTTATCCGAAAGTGTATTCCAAAGTAACTTTTTAAAACTTGATATTTATTTTTTTTTTGTTTTTTTTTTTCTTTTTTTTTTTACGTTAAAGGTGTCTCAAGATGGAAACACGACCAGTTCCACGTTAATCCTGAAACCAACTTTATCCGATCACGATAAAACGATAACTTGTCGAGCGGAAAACTCTAAGATTCAACGAAGTATAATGGAAGATACGTGGAAATTAAACGTGTTTTGTAAGTAAAACTATTTTTCTTTTTTTTTTTTTTTTTTTTTTTCTTTTTTTTTTTCCGTTAAAGGGGTCCCAAGAGGGAAACACGACCAGTTCCACGTTAGTCCTGAATCCAACTTTATCCGATCACTATAAATCGATAACTTGTCGAGCGGAAAACTCTAAGATTCAACGAAGTATAATGGAAGATACGTGGAAATTAAACGTGTTTTGTAAGTAAAACTTTTTTTTTTTTTTTTTTTTTTTCTTTACGCAAAATATTTTATCTCGGATTTCTTTCGAAGGGATCCGTTAACAAATGCGATACACGATCTACAAAAATTATTCTCAAATTATTCAAAGCAATAAAATACGCATATAGATAATTGATTCGTTGTTACCTTTTTTAATTATCTATTATTTTTTTTTTTATTTCTTCCAGTCGTTCCAATTTTACATCTCAAGTTAGGATCGAATATGAATCCGGACGACATCGAAGAAGGCGATGACGTATACTTCGAATGCAAGGTCCATGCAAATCCTAATGCTTACAAGGTCATATGGAAACATAACGTAAGCGATATATATATATAATTCACATTATATAATATCCATTACCGAGTTACGAAAATAGCAAACAAAGCAGAGCGATTTAAAATTTGATAGAGAAAATTGATATCACGGATATATATTGTAATAATATAATATATCAAGTGTGCAACGATCATACATACATACATATCTTGTACAGAAACGTTGTTTTTCGCGTGCGTGTTTATTCCTCGTTAAATTCCCTGGACGCTGCTGTGTCGCATCTTTTTTGTATTAATTTCCAACAAAATCCCATCCATATTAATGATATTAGCTTCGTTTTACAAGCTTTTTCGAAATGGAACGAATGACAAGAGACAAAACGCATCTCTGAACGACGATACAATCGCTATTACGATCGAGATTGTTTTATAAGCAATTTGACCTTGCATTAGGAACGACTGTACGCCAACAGGGAATGTTCGATACCGTATCGCAATGTCGTGTTGCGTGACAAGAGAACTGTTGACAAAAAAACTTTCAAGGGTACGTCCTCGCCACGAACGATCACTTTCTGTGTTTCCAACGCACATGTGTGTCTACTTTACGCGCCGCTCGGGCGTGTACATCGATACAATAATATAACGAAACAATTTCATTTTATTATCCGAAATTTTCACACAGAAAATTACGTTAAGAAACTCGAATCAACGATGGGTACGATCATCCATTCGTTTAAATACTTTCTTCTTTGCTTTCTAGAGTTATTTTTTTTTTCTTTTTTTTTTTAGACTAACTTCCTGCGTTCGCGCGTTTCGCTTCTCTTCCGCTTCAACCCTCCAGCTGCGGATGTTTTTTTCTTTTTCCTTTCTCTCTCTTTCCAATTTCGCTTTCGTTTCGAGCGAGACGAACGAACGAACGAACGAACGAACGAACGATAGAAAAATTCGAAGACGATTTTCCACGGTTGATCCACGGCTGGAGGGTCTGTCTGATTGGCCTCACACTCCTCTCAACAGGCTTTTTCTTTTTTTCCACGAATTCATGATGACCCTGTGTCTGTTAAGGTTTTTTCGTCAACCACGTGCAGACTTTCTCCATCCCTAACGGCGTTTCCAGAACACGGCATGCGATTCCGCTTGCGATTATTCGAATAACATTTGAATGCGACTTGGGTCCGCGGCGCGACGATGAAGCGATTACAGAAATGCCTTGCTAACGACCGAATGCTGAGTCGAGACCTGAGATCTGGCACGTTAGAAACCGAGACTTCTACGCACCAGCAATATTCTGCCTGGCTCCTAAATAGATAGGAGGATAAGGTGAGATAGCGAATTTTCGAAACCCAATCTTACTCTTTTCCGTTATGAATACAGTTGGAGATGGCCAAGTTGTCGCCAAGTAAGTCGCCAGTTCGTCGAGCTCAAACGTGAGAGAAACGTAAAGCTGCGTCTAACATCTGATAAGCGTATCGATAAAGACACGCTTTCGTCGATATCGATACGCCGAGGGATGACGAGGATGGCAAGGATAGCGACGCGATTCGTTACTCGACGAGTTAGCAAGGAATTATTGCTTTGTCTTCGGTTCGTTGCGAATGGGTTGCGAAAAGAAAGCAAGAGGAGGAAAATTAATCGAGGTTTAATGGTTAACACACACGTTTACGACACTGTGATACGATGATAAATGTAAAAACCTTCCCTGGTGCCGCTCGATCGATCGTGTGCGTACGATCGAAGCAAGATTTGCGTGCGGGTGTTCCTGGTACAAAATTAAGTCGCTTATAACGTATTATTTATAGCTGCGATACGATACCATACGTACGAATTGAAAAATTACAAGTTTTAAATTTTATAGAATAAGTTTTTCTATTTTTTTATGGATATCGATGCGAATTGAATCGATACACAATCGTGTATACGTTGTTGCAGGGAAACGTTATTCAGAACAATGCGAAGAACGGTGTGATAGTGCAGGAGTACAGCTTGGCTCTGAGGAAAGTGAATCGTTCTCAAGCAGGCAATTACACTTGTATCGCTAGCAACGTCGAGGGAGACGGTTACAGCAATACCGTGGAGCTTAAAATTATGTGTAAGTATCACCTCTAAAGCGGAATTTAATTCTTTACGATTTAAAAAAAAAAAATCTCTCTTCAATTTCGTTCAGACAAACCTATATGCTTGCCGGATCAAAAACGGATTTACGGCGTAGCGCGTCACGAAGACGCCCGTATAAGTTGCAACGTTGAAGCGTATCCACCGCCGGATAGTTTTCGTTGGACGTTCAACAACACGGAAGAAATGGTGGACGTGTCCGAGTCGAAGTACAAGAACTCGACGCGCCGTAGTCAGAGCATCCTTGTTTATCGGCCGATGACGGAGATGGATTACGGTACGGTCTCGTGTTGGGCGAGTAACACCGCCGGCCAACAGAATAACGCATGCGTGTTTCACATCATTCCAGCTGGTACGTTGCGCCGACATTACAACAGCGCGTTCCGTGGTGAAAAAGTGTAACACAACGATTTTGCAGGAAAACCCGAGTCTCTGTACAATTGCACGTTGTCCAATCAAACGACCGAGTCTCTCTCAGTGGAGTGTTGCGTCGGTTTCGACGGTGGCCAACCGCAACACTTTCTTCTCGAGGTGTTCGATCAGCAAACGGGAATACTACAAGCAAATATCACGTCGAAAGGGAATGCCGCTTTCACCGTTCGCGATTTAGAGGCTGGAAAAATTCTCAATATGGTTTTGTACGCTGTAAATGCAAAAGGGAGAAGCGAACCGACCTCGTTGGAAGGATTCACGTTAAAGGTCGCTGAGAAACAGACTGGTGAGTAATAATAATGAATAACGATTCGTCGCGTCCTCGTCGTATTCTTTCTCTCTCTCTCTCTCTTTCTCTGTCTCGAAAATCCGAGTCCGATCGTCGGTTTCGTTGAATTTGTTGTTGAATCT